AAATATATGAGTGTCACAGCAAAGGGTCTGAATACTTAGGACCATGTGATATTTCAGTTTTTCTTTTTTAATAAATCTGCAAAAATGTCAACAATTCTGTGTTTTTCTGTCAATATGGGGTGCTGTGTGTACATTAATGAGGAAAAAAATTTAACTTCAATGATTTTAGCAAATGGCTGCAATATAACAAAGAGTGAAAAATTTAAGGGGGTCTGAATACTTTCCGTACCCACTGTATATATGCAAATATTTAAGTATTTGACAGCATAGTGAGACTGACATGATTAGGTTATTTGTGATGCTTCATGGGCATTCCCTGCAAACTCTTTTGGCATGACTCTCTGATTGGTGGAATTTTCTGAACAACATGGGTAATGTAGTTTTCCACCACAAATTTCTCTGTTAAATATGATTATTTTTTTAATCATTTGAAATAACGTGAACAGATGGCTTCGGCAGAATCATGTACAATCTTTTATTGTCAGTTTATGGAGAAAATCTGATTTTACTTCTGGAACCTGACTGTCACACTAAAGAAATAATGCTGAGGACAAATAGAATATACATAGTTGCTGGTAGCCATTGACTTCCATAGTATGGGGAAAAAATACTACCAAGTCAATGGCTACCAGAAACTGTTTGGTTACCAACATTATTCAAAATATCTTCTTTTGTGTTCAACAGAAGAAAGAAATTGATACAGTTTTGGAACAACATGTGGGTCAGTAAATTATGACAGTTTTTTTTTTGGGGGGTGAACTACACCTTTAAGTCAAAAACAGTTTAACTTTCAAAGCACATCTTCAGACTTCTGCATTCTGTCCCCTTCCGCTGCATCTAACGGTTTTTGAATGAGAGAATGCTCTCTGTGTGAACGGCTCCTAAGGCCTCAGGGTGGTTCTATTCATACAGCAGCTGCAAAACAGCTGCCCGATTCCCATCAAAATGCAGAGTAAAAAAAAAAGAACAAGAAATTTACTGTGCTAACTCCTCCCCATCAACCCACACATTCAGTCTCACAAGCTTATGTATGGTGGCACACGGTCAGGAGCTATCGACCCTCTTAGACCGAACATCCAGAACAGCATACAGACTTACAGAACATTCCATGTGTTTCCAGAATAATAACGCTGTCATTAGGTGCACATCTGAATCTGCCGAGATGATCCCGATGATCTACGTGTCGCTTGTGGAAAAGCTTGACTGCTCTGTGCAGGAAGAAGAGATCTGTGTGGGTGTTGGGCCTTTTGTGTCTAGCTGAGGTGCATAATTATGTCTCCTTCACTGCACCCCTCTGACAGCCAGTATTTTAATGGCACTCAATAACAGAGGTGCTATACTGCCTGAACTGACGATTAAACCGCTGTGTGTTTGAGTTTGTGAGTGTGCTGATAAGGCCACACAACAAATCTCTGTGCAACTTTAAAGGCACAATCAGGTCCCTCTGAGTTGCTATGGTTACGTAGACTGCAGGATGTTATTGCAAGAAAGCTGGTCTGAGCCTCTTGATTTTAGATAAGGTTTGATCGGCCACTAATCCAACCCTGGACTATTGCATTTCCGTCATAGGAGCACATGCTGAGGAGCACCAACTAACTAACTAATGTGGTCTCATGTGGTTTAAGTAATGGAAAATATCAAGGTCAGTCTGCCATTTTAGCAAAATGAGTGATCAGGACCTACAATGCAAATTTTTCAATCTTTATTTAGTGATAATGAATAATGATAATAAATTATTCCAATAGCTACAATAAATAAAATTAAATACATACACTGTTGGTCAAAAGTTTGAAATTAAGATTTGTTTTAAAATTAAGTTTCTTATGCTTATCAAAACTGAAAAAGTATTTGATCAAAAAAACAATTAAAACAGTAATATTGTGAAATATTACAATATTACTAAACAACGAGGACCCACACTGGTTAACCTTTATTTTTATTTTTATTTTTAGAATTAGCATATTATTGTATTCTAAAGCTACACAAAACTATTCATTTTTGAAAAAAATTTATTTATAAAAAAAAATACTGTTAGACTTAAAATGAAATAAACATTACATAAAGAAAAATAATTAATAAAACTGAACTAAAAATAATCCAATTAAACAATGATAAATAAAAATGAATCTTTTTTTGAGTGAGCATTTATTGCATGATTTGTACAGGAAAAAAATCATCCCACCTACAGATGGCAAGAGTGCTGCATAAGCTCTGTGAAAGTTTGATTCTTACATGTTCACAAATTAACACAACTAATACATTCTGAAGCCTAAATACAATCGTCAGAAGTAAAAAGCTACGTGTAGGCTATAAACAAACTACACATGATCGCATGACTTCAACGTCACCACCATCATGCCTCTGACATGTTTTTCAAAACAAGTAAACGCTTTAAAAAAATTTATAAGTTTTATACATTTTATAAATAAGATTACAGTTACATAAAACAAAATAGATATAAAAACTAAACTCTAACTACTACAACTATTCTAAAACTAATTACAGCTAATTAGTTTTTCAATGTAACATAAATTTGAATATATTTGAAATTGCAAAACAATGATATTTATGACCAAAATTAAAAAATGACGTATAACTAAAAGACCTGAATTTCACAAGCTCTTTGGACTACATGCACAACTGTGTGTGTGTGTGTGTGTGTGTGTGTTTTAAAGACACTTGGAATGGCTGCGGATTTCATTTCTGTTTCTATCTGAAGTCTGATATAATTAAAAGGAACCAAACAGACCAGCATAACCCCTTTCCCGACATTTCACTTTACTCCCCACAATAATCCATTCTCCCAGAACTTTGTTACCCATCATGAAGATATCTGGCTGCCTCCATCAAAAACGCCCACACTTCAAGACTACCAATTTAAATCAGAGAGAAAGGGGCCTCTCACTTCAATAAGCAGGATTCAAAAAGGCACTGTCTTTCTACTCTGGCTTGTCTAAGGGCCAGATGGAAGGAAAAGCCTGTGGATAAGAATGCTGGATGAGGGCTGGGTCCTTCACACTAGGATGCAGCGTGAGGTATAGAGGCCTGTCTAATTGCCTGTCTCAAAGAGCTGGCTGGCGGAGGATTTATTCAGGCTTAATAGAGCCTGCCCGTTTCACTGTGGGCACACGTGTCAGCTTGCGAATGTCACTCAAAGATGCCGAGTGCAGGAACCGGAGGGAGTGTTTGGGTGTGTTCTCATTCAAGCACACAGGCTTTTAGCTATTCAGCTATATGGTCGCCACTCACAGCTCTTACTGAAGAAATACGTTCAGAATTGAGCAAAGGAGAAGGAGGAGGAAACGGTGCTGCTACAAATGTTTCTGCTTGTCATTGGCTGCTTTTTACACAAACATTAGAGACAAAATGAGATCCTTCTTTTTAAGAGACGGAGCCTGTTTTGCTCATTAAAGATCAAACGCACTCAGACCAACTCATTTTGATTTAATTAACTGGAATCGATCCAATTAAGATTAAGGCTTGCATTTGGGCCATTAAAAATGTAAATGCAAAAGAAAATCTACTGACTGGGCAGCTTTGTAATCATGGTTTGTTCAAAGTTTTTAATTAATACATACATTTGTGTCTGTGGCTGCAAACACAATTAGCATCACAAAAATAGTGTAGCATGCATGTTACTAGCATATTGGCTGTTTATTAGTACTTATAAAGCACATAGGCTATTAATGCTTTATTCTGCACGACCATATTCTAGATCCCTTAATACCTAAATTTAACAACCCCCATACCTAAACTTATCAACTACCTTACTAAATATTAATTAGAAAAAGAAAATTAGGAGTTTACTGAGGCAAAAGTCATAGTTAATAGTGAATATGTGTTCCCTAGAGAGAGAGAACTAGAGTAAACACTCTCACACACACACACACACACCAAGTCAAGATTTTTTTTTGCCAATTTTGAAAAAAATGTTATATTGTGAAATATTATACCGATTCAAAATAAAATGTTATATTGTGAAAAATTATATAGATTAAAAATAACTGTTTCTATTTTAATATATTTCACAGCATAGTTTATTATGATCCTTCAGAAATCATTCTAATATGCTGAATTGGAGCTCAAACATGTCTTATTATTATCAATAGTGAATGATCTTTTTTTTCAGGATTTCAGGATATACTGTATATCTATATATATATATTTAATTAGAAATATTTTGCAACATTATGAATGTCTTTACTGACACTCTTTTTAACACATTCTTGAATAAACATTGATTTTATATATATATATACACACACACAATGTTCACCCTTAGAAGAGCAGTGAAATAATAGAAAATCAGGAACTAGCAAACAGAGTAATGCCAGAATGATTAAACATGGACAATAGTGCCACCTATATAACACTTATGAATTATCAATTAATCTTGTTTTTTTTTTTTATTAAGTGTCTTTAACTGTTAACATAATGACATACAAAATATACCATGTACTTTCAGAATGGCGTTGGATAATAAGCAATATCACGCGAGTGTAGGTGTATGTGTACTGTGTCTTGGTGAGTTGCTGTGCCTGTCAACACCATATGTTGTGAGAGTGTGTCTGACAGATATCCTAAGGTATTAACATTGGCGCAACGACCCCATTTCAAATCAACCAAAGAAAACAAATAAAACAAAAACATAAATGTATGATTATTTACTCTAAAAGAATTCTCATCCAATAAAACATCACACTTGCACATCTTTTCAGTATTTTACTCAGTATACTTCAGTAATTTCACACACATCACAACATTCAGAGACGCTACAGAAATAATCTTGATGCGATGACGACAGACATCCTCTTGTACTCGACAATGTATAGATTACAGCTGTACAGGCCACTTACATTATAAAGCTCTAAGAAATTCTTAAATGCTGGATTTGTAAAATTTGACAGTATATATATATATGCAGAAAATAATTTGATATGTGGAACATTATTTACATTTAATTATCAAAAACATCCTATTGATGGTCCCCTTTTCTTTTGTATATACTGATGTTTCTTGTATGTTGCATTTGGGTACCGTGATTCATATCTCTGTTACTCTCCGGAAAAATTACAAAAATATGACCTTAGATGGAGTAACAAGAGTGTTATTTCAGTGAACAATGCCAGTATGGAAGGACAACGGTTGAACTGAATGATGAAGGCTGTCACTCTTTAAATGTCTCAGTTACAAAATCCTCTAAATAACTATAACATTCAATATAAAAATACAAGTCATTCATCTCAAGAAATGAAGGCAGAATTAATTAAGTTTTGAAATGTACTAAAGAAAACAAGTGAACAAACAAATGTGAAATCACATGGACGTACATTTTTAATTTTGAGCTTAAGAGACTAGTGAAAGGATACTGTTAACTTGAACTCATTGTATGGATACAGGACCAAAGTAGGCCCAAAAGGAGAGGCAAAAGTGAATTTAAATAGTTTTGAAGGGATGCCTTCATTTCCTATACCTACTGACAGTTTTTTCAAAGTCATAGTTATATTCCCTCCTGCGTGAAAGCCAGGGTAGGAGAAAACAACTCTATTTCCTCTTAGCGTTCACACTCTTGCAGACCCAGTTCATGCCATCCTGAAACAACATTTGAGTCAGTTAGTCCAAATACTGTAGTTTTTGACTAACAACAAAATGTTATCCAAACAAACCTGGACTCCTTCTCCTGTGAGGGCAGAACAGGACTGGATCTGCCACACTCGGTCTCTGATAGTGTGCAAATTCAAACCCTCGGCTATCTCGGACGCAGGGGCTGCCGTGAGCAGGTCCTGCTTATTTGCAAACACCAGGACCGGGACACCGCTGAGCTTTTCTTCATCAAGTAACTCAGCCAGCTCCTGCATGCAGATCAGTTCACTTAATTAAACACTGAAAGCAGAAATTGCTTTGAATAGCAAAGAAATAACAGTCACAAAGCATCACCTGTCCCGTTTCCTCAAATCTTTTGCGGTCTGCACTATCAATAACGTAAATCTGAAATCAAAAGGAGTGTCTAATTAACAACGTGTTTGGAAACAAAGTGGATTGTGGGATGACTTTAAATCGGACAAATGATCGCACCAGTACATCTGTGTTCTCAAAGTAGTTTCTCCAGTAGGGTCTGATCTTTCTCTGACCACCGATATCCCATACATTTAATTTGAATCCTTGGGATTGGACGCTCTTGATATTGAAACCCTACAGAAAAAAAAAAAAGTTATTAAACTTGCTATGGTAATAAAACAGCTGATTCAGTAAATGCATGTGACATTAACTCTAATTGGCTTTATGCAACCATAGGGTGACCACAGGTAGTTCTGGGCGGTATGACCAAAAATGTATATCACAGTATTTTTCAAAATTATACCGGTTTCACGGTACACGACGGTATTTTTTTTTCATGCATGACCGGGTGTTAACCATATTTTCTACTGATTGAGAGAGGAAATACTGCAGTATATTGACTTAGAATGCCCTATTTTACAGTCATGATGAGTGAATATTGTCAAAAAATACCACACTAATTAGTGACTACCTAAAAGGGTCTGAAAGTTGCTCAATCTAGTGCTAAAGTCGCGCTTGTGTGTGTGAGACGCGGGAGCTGATGGATATTTGTGGTGGTCAATGTGGATGAGTTCTTCTGTGTCATCACGTTCTATTAGTTCTACAGCTTCAGTTTCGGAACTTTCACGCTTAGTAACACATGCAGCTGTTCCCTCACCACAGTGCAACAGTGAAAAGAGACCCCTTTCAAACAGTGTCGCGTTCTGAATGTTGTTTAAGCGGTATTTTAAAAATTCTTATCATAACAAAAATAAACACCGGTATTCGGTATGAACCGGTATACCGCCCAGCAGTAACCACAGGCCTTTTTTTCCCAGACATGCCCTGGCCAAGACTTCTAAATTGCCTAAAACGTCTGGGTTTTGGCTTTGTTTTCCTATTGACATGCTCTCCACAGTCCTCATACATTATATATATGCACACATTGTTTTGACTGTTCTCTGTACGTCCCACCTTCTCCCAAATCGTCTCTTTGAACTGTTCGAAGGAACCGATTTGCGGAAGTGAGTGATTTCCGATCAGTGTAAGGGGAGGGAGATTCTTCTCTTCAGGGATTGGACGGTACAATGCCACGTGCTCGTCTATGTTGCAAGCCCACATCATCACAGTGTTTAACCCTCTTCATTGGTTTTGTCTACTACTGCAGCGCCACGAGATATAAACAAGACTGTCACGTCACGTTATAAAGGTATTTTCATGCGGCACATTTGATATTTGTGGTTTTGTCTGATTTGTTTGGACAGCGCACATCCGGGTGCTTGTGTACTGAGAACATGAACTGATGCAAGCTGCTGGACAACTTCTGATGCAGTCTGCTTTCTAATTAGCTGCTACTTTGCATGCTTCTAATGCAATTTTAATGCAGGGTTGGTTTTATGAAAATCCATGCTTAATGTTTGAGAATTATTGATGTTTTAAAAGCGAACGCATACTTTGTTTTGCCACTTCAAAAATGACATTTCTTGGTCTCTTTCCTTAAACTTGTTGGTTGGTGACATACTAACCTAGTTGGTATAGTTAACTGTACATAGTTGTATTATTCTGGTGATATTTTATTTTAATCATAGCATATGTTTTACACATTTTCTGTTAAACTATCAGTAAATCAGGTTAAACCGGTAAGGAAACAAATGAACAGAATGAAAATGGTCTTGAAAAGTTTGGACCCATTGAAAGTCATTCTTTGTTTGCTTGTTTTGTGCATTCATTTCACTGCAGTAAATAGTAACACTACAAATGTCAAATCTGGTGCTCCTTCACCTGCTTTAATCATGCATTTCTTTCATTTTGAGATGTTTGTAATAGATTGCATTAAAAAGTAACATGCAGACTGTACAGTACACTTGATGTTGCAGTGTACTGATATTTTCTTAAAAGCCATATTGTTTGAGAGAAATTACTTGTTAAGGATTAGAGAAAACTTCATTGTTTTTTTTTAATTTGGAAGACTGAACTAAACTGGTTATAATTAGGTCAGGCTCTCAGGAGTCAGTTTCTCGCTTTCACTAGTCAAGATTATTGGTCAAGGGCCAAGGCCCTGGTCTGTTTTTCCTGATATCCAAACATCTGTTTGCATAGCTTGCCTCACTGTAAGAGCCTTGGTTTTGACTTTCCTATCATAGCATTTGGAGATACGCTGCTTTGTTAGATGAGAAACCAGTTAGTAATGAAAGAGTACAACACAATTGAAGAGAGCAAATGAGCTCGCATTTTAGTTTAAGCCACTCCTGGACTGACACCTTAAATAATATAAATTCACCACTTGTGAATCAAAAATTGCATTTGGTTTGTGCATTCAACATTCAGCCCACATGATTTTCATCCGAAATGGCACATTTGTTTTGTTCTGTGGATCTTCGTATGATCTATTCTCTATGGACTGGAACTGGAAACCCTCAATGTATTGAATATTTGTTGTTTTCTGTTTTTCACCCAGGCTCTTTGGAAGCAGAGAGAGAACCATGGAAGCTCTGAAGGGCTTTGATATCGACGCCCCACGCTGGGATCAATCCACGTTCATGGGCCGTCTCAAACACTTTTTCAACATCACTGACTGCCGCACTGTTCTGCTGCCTGACTCCAGACTAGATGAAGCCAAAGCTTTAGTGGAGAGCTGCAGGTGAAGAAATGGATTGATTTGATGAGGTGATCTCTCTCTCTTCTTCCTGTTTCTTACGTTGTTTCGCTTCCTCTCTAACCCAGAGCTGGCTCTGTTCCTCCTGGCACAACGGTGGAGCAGCTACACTATGCCAAGAAGCTGTACGACTCTGCATTTCATCCTGACACAGGTGACAGGATGAACCTGATAGGGAGAATGTCATTTCAGGTGCCTGGGGGAATGGCCATCACGGGGTTCATGCTTCAGTTTTACAGGTCACAGTTGATTTGATTATTTCTAATATTTATTGTATAATATATATAATTTATAACAATATGTACTATATATTTGAACAATTAACCAGCTATTTTGTATGGTCGTGTAGGACAGTTCCTGCTGTAGTGTTCTGGCAGTGGGTTAACCAGTCTTTCAACGCTCTGGTCAACTACACCAATCGCAATGCTGCCTCCCCCATCACACCAAAGTAAGTTCCTATGACTCCTTTCTGTCTTTGGTAGGTTTGCAGAGTGTATACCTCTTAAATTGTGACAGTACCGTGATACCTAGTGATTTATTAACAGATGTCTGGGAAGGAGCTTCAAATAACAGATAAGCTTCAGTAGCAGATATGTTTTTTTTATTGTGTTGTGTGTGACTTCTTTGCTCAGGCAGATTGGAGTAGCTTATGTGACAGCAACAAGCACAGCGCTGGCTACTGCGGTTGGGCTGAACCTCTACACAAAGGTATTAGCCTCATGTAAATAATTAAGGGAATACTCTATTTCTACAGACAGGATCTGTGATATGCAGCTGATTACAATAGAAAATTTACAAACTGAAAATTGTAATATAAGTTAGTGTGTAAAAAGCATGTACAGTAATGTACTTACAGTGGTATTTCACGATACATTTTAAAATGCTTTACTGTTTTCAAAGTACAGCCACAAATATTCTAATAATACATAAATATATTTACTTAAAAATCAATTATATATTTACTTTTATGCATATATTATTAATACAGTAGATTTGTATGCAGAATTCAAATTAAAATAGTTAAAGCTTTTCTTCCTTTGTTCAGTTTGACAGGCGTGTCTGCAGTGGTTATACATTATCCAGGTCTTATTTAGCATCTTTAACCGTTATCTCCTCAGAAAGCTCCTCCACTGGTGGCACGCTGGGTGCCGTTCGCTGCTGTGGCCGCGGCTAACTGTGTGAACATTCCAATGATGAGACAACAGTGAGACCTCTTCTGTTTCCTACCATCTTTTATTTTGGTGGGTCTTACTCACTAGGTTCACGTGTCTAGATATTAGTATATTCAGGTTAATTCTTTCCTGTACAGGGAGATTTTGAACGGCATTGCTGTGACGGATGAAGATGGAAATAAACTGGGCCACTCAAGGGTGAGGGATATTTATTGGTTCTATTAGGTCGAAATAACCTCACCTGATGAAACTAGTTACAAAATGTGTATTAGTTTTAGAAAATATCATAAAACATTTTATTCTATATTTAGTACTGCCCTGAAGAAACTGCTTATATTACACGAGACAAATGAATAACAGAAATTACACAAATGCCTGGTTAAACGCCTACATACCGTTAATTTTTACATTACGTCCTTATGTATCTTATATCGTATCTATTATTGTTATAACAATTTATTGTAATTTACATTCCTTACATACCCGAGTATGTAAACTTATGAGCAGAAACATTAGTTTAAATAGATCTGAATGTATTTAGTGCTCACAATAATCAGTTTAATGATAAGATGCCTTTTTACATTAAAAAAATTTCTCTGTTCTTAAGTTACTGAATAAATAGTGTATACTGTCTGTGTTTGTCATAGAAAGCAGCTGTCAAGGGCATCACACAGGTGGTCATCTCTCGAGTTACCATGGCAGCGCCAGGCATGAGTAAGTGCAAAGAGTTTGGCCGGTGTTATCAGATCTCAGTGCTAAAATAAATGAATCCTAAGCTGCTTTCTTTGTTCTTTCCAGTCATTCTCCCCATTATTATGCAGAGGCTGGAAAAATACAGGTTCATGCAGGTGAGCCTCATGTTGTTTTGTATCCAAGAAGCACGCAATGGAACGGAGAAGCGATAAAATAGCCAGTTTATGATCTGCAGGTTATAAATTCACTCTCTCTCAGACCTCAAAACCGACGTCTGTTGAGTCGTTCTCATATAACAGTCAGTTATCATCAATGCATACAGGTTTCAAATGGTTTTAACACAACTATTTGAATGAACATTAGCTAATGGTTTAATTCATTATGTAGCATAATAATGTTTTCATTTGCAATTATTATAAGTCTTACAAAGGTAATCTTATTTTTTATTGTTGATTATATTATATTGGGATTCCTGGGTCTGTAAAGTCTATAAACCCTTTGCTGTACAGGTATGATTCGATATAAAACATATTTTCATTTGTTTGTTTCTATTGCAGAAAATCACATTTCTTCATGGGCCACTGCAAGTCATGATGGTTGGCGTATTGTAAGTGATCACATTTCTTTTTATGAAAATAGCAACAATTGATATGCTAAATATATGAGATCTTGTTTCAGTAGAAGAAATGACAACATGCCTTTCTCTGTTTCACAGTCTGATCTTCATGGTGCCTGCAGCATGTTCACTGTTTCCTCAGAGTTGGTAAAGTTTGCATATACTGTACATGGCATACATCTTTTTTTTTTGAAGGGATAGTATCTCTTCAAAGGAATCGTTCACTCAAAAAAAAAAAAAAAATTTACTCACCCTTAGGATATTCAAGATGTAGATAAGTTGGTTTCTTCATTGAAATTTAGCATTACGTCACTTGCTCACCAACTGATCCTCTGCAGTGAATGGTGCTGTCAGAATGAGAGTCCAAAAAGCTGATAAAAACACCACAATAATCCACACGACTCCAGTTCATCAATTAATTTATTGTGAAGTGAAAAGCTGCATGTTTGTACAAACAAATACATCAAAAAAATATGTTTTTAATTTCGAAATGTCACTTCACAAGACATTAACCGATGGACTAAAGTCTGATTATTGTGATGTTTTTATCAGCTATTTGAACTCTCTATCTGACGGCACCCATTCACTGCAGAGGATCCATTGGTCAGCAAGTGATGCAGTGCTAAATTTCTCCATATCATAATCACAGTTTCATTAAGATATTATGCAACGTTTTGTAGCTGCTTCATCCATTATCTCTCTCTAAAATGCTTCATTCAGATGTTTTCACGATAACTGGTGTCTGAGCCATACCAGACTAATCAATCATTTGCACTTTGATTGCAGTTATATGGCTGTATCCAAGCTGGAACCTGAGCTCAGGGAGTCAATCATTTCTCAGTACGGGGACCGTGTCAGTTACGTGTACTTCAACAAAGGCCTGTGAGTGCAGGCCAATCACAGACTGGATGCACGCGTCATCGGAGTGCACGCATTCACTCTAAAAAGAAACTTTTTGATTAGAGGTTTTGTTTCATATCCTAGAAAAAAGTTTTTTATGCACTAAAGCGTAATTTATTGATAGTTTTTTAACATTTGGCCCTGACTGCTGCAAAGAATCAGTTTGATTTGTGAATCTAAATTCTGTGTAAAACATTTTTTACAGAGAATTTATAGACATTGGATAAACCTGATCCAGTTGCCTTGTCATTTGATCCTGTTGTATATGCTCTACCCTGAATAATTGAGACCAGATTGAAAAGTCTGAGAAGTGTTTCCCTCTGATGCCATACGCTGTCATTTACCACATACATCTCTCAGGAACAGTTTATTTTAAAGGTTTAATGCTTTAATAGCCTCCTAAAGCCATCAGTGAAATCATTTTATCGGGTTTTTCTTAAACTGTCAGACGTTCAGGATATACAGTCAGATCATAAATGTTTACGTTTTAAATACCAGTTACAAGCATAAAGTGGGGGAAAGTACAGTCTAGTAAACATCAGTTTGAAAGAGTATTTCATGGTTAGTGTCTTAAATAAAATAAAAATTCATGGCACTAATTGGGTCCATGGATTGCCCTCACTGTGAACTGTCTGAGCTATGTACTTCTTTTCATCATTATGAGATGATGAAATAAACCCCTGGTCTGTGATAACTCATGAGAGTTGAACCAAAGTGGAGCTTGTGTTTATTTTATGTATAACTGCGCGCTCAATATTAATTTCTGCCACTTGAGGGCAGTATCTAATCATTAAAGTTTTGTAGGGTAAATATGCAGCACTTCTGTCAAATAGTCACACTAATGGGATAAAATATACTATAAAGCGACCAGAAGACACTTTTTTCGGACATCAAATATGCTGAAATATACACAGGATATATGTATTAGATTCAATAAAGTAAAATTTTATATATATGTGACCCTGGACCACAAAACCAGTCTTAAGTCGCTGGGGTATATTTGTAGCAATAGCCAAAAATATATTGTATGGGTCAAAATTATTGATTTTTCTTTTATGCCAAAAATCATGTTCCATGAATATACTTAGCAAATTTCCTACTGTAAATATATTAAAACTTAATTTTTGATTAGTAATATGCATTGCTAAGAACTTAATTTGGACACCGTTAAAGGGGTCATATGATGCGATAAAATTTTTCTTGGTGCATAAAGAAGATCTGTAAAGTTGCAAAGACTAAAGTCTCAAATCCAAAGAGATATTCTTTATAAAAGTTGAGATTCAACCACGCCTACCTAAAACGGCTCGTTCTAACATGCCCCCACATGTCTACGTCGCTATGTGGGAAGATTTGCATAACACCGCCCAAATGTTCACACAAAGAAAGTTTGTTTGGCCTTCTAAAAGAGGACGATATCCGCTTCGTCATGCCTGGAGCTGATCCGTGCTGGTCGCTGAGGAAATACTTCAACTTCGCACTGTGGATCGCCGGATCAGCTTTCACCGTGGACGAAGCGGAGTCCAGCCCGGGGTCGTCACATGTGGTTGCCGCAAGCCCGCCGGACGCTCCTTCGTCGAATCCGCCGGCCGTGCCGTTCTCAAGTCCGCCCGCCTCTGCTCACTCAAGCCGGCCTCCGCATACTCTAGGCCGTGGCTCACTCAAGGCCACGGTGTGTGACGCTGTTTCGTTGTGAAAGAATTTGCCACTGACGATTCAAACATGAGTTTTTTGGGCAGTGTAGAGTAGCACTTGTTGTTTGTCATTTCTCCGATCACAGATGCAGACATGGTTTTATGTTACGGTCCGGCCGGGACAAGGCATCACAGTGTGGTAGGGGTGTAACATTTCCGTCACACACTTGAGGTATTCGGCCAATCACAACGCACTGGATAGCTGGCCAATCAGAGCACACCTCTTGATGAGCTTTGTAAAAATCGACGCGTTTCAGAAAGGCGGGGCATAGAGGAGAAACAATAATGTACAGTATGTGGAAAATAATGTTTTTTTTAACCTTAAACCGCATAAACACATTTCATTACACCAAATACACAAAATAATGTTCTTTTTAGCAGCATCATATGACCCCTTTAAAAGGCGATTTTCTCAATATTTTGATTTTTTTGCTCCCTAAGATTCCAGATTTTCAAATAGTTGTATCTTGACCAAATATTGTCCTATCATAACAAACCATACATCAATGGAAAACTTATTTATTCAGCTTTCAGATGATGCATGAATCTCAATTTCAAAAAAATTCATGACTTATGACTGGTTTTGTGGTCCAGGGTCACATATGTTATAATATGTATAATATGAATATGCGTAATATTTTTATATTACAGAAATATAAAAATATGTTTATTATTTTTTCATAGATTTAAAAATCATAATAGGACAAGCTGATGTAGTTTAATGTTTTATTTGGTAATACTGTATATTTATCCATCAAGTGAACATCCACATGGGAATTAAACAAAGCATCAAAGACATGCATAGTCTGGTTCTTCTACCACAACTTTTATCATGTGGTTCAGACACTAGGTCTCACATTCCTGCTCTTTTCAGCAAATCATAAAAGAGAAAGACAAAGACTGGTAAAAATAACACAATGATCATATAAATCAAAGGTAATAACACATTTTTAAAAAAGTAGAAACGTGGAAACAAAATCATTTAACTTACGCCATTAAAATTCAATAATTCATACAAAGCAGTTTAAGCAGTTATAGCTCGATGCATATTAAACATTAAACTTGTAGATTTATATAGACTATTCGTAAGAGTTCAAGCTTGTTTATGACAATGCTTCTGATATGAAGAAAGAAGTGAGGATATTGAAACAAAAATCTTAATTTAAATCACACTTAGGCAAAAAAAAAAGCTTCGTACATTTATGCTGGAACACTGATAGCCAAAATAGAAAGGCATGAATTGAACAATTACCCATAAGAATGCTCCCTTTGTCAATACAAATGATCTCGGTGCTGATTTTATACAATGATTGTGATGCATTAACGAGTTTAAGCAAAGTATACCTTTGCTTAAAGCAAAGCATACCTTTGCCTATACTTTACCCCTTATAATTAGTAAAGCTGTCTATACACGGTTTTATTAACAGTTTAACTCTAGGGGAGTTTTCAAAAATAGTGGAGTGTTCCTTTAAAGGTACAATATGTAAGTTTTCGCCACTAGAGGTCGCATTTTCAAAACAATTACAAAGGCAAAGTTTGATGAAGCTATGAAGGAGGATGTTCACGGATGAGGTAATGAATAAATTTTTTATTACCTGTACCTTCCATAGTTATTCAAACAGCGAATAAATTATACAGAGAATGCAAGCAAAGAACATTTACACTGTCAAAGAACATTATGACTGACTTAAGTCTAGCACGAGTTTAAGCAAAGTATACCTTTGCTTAAAGCAAAGCATACCTTTGCCTATACTTTACCCCTTATAATTAGTAAAGCTGTCTATACACGGTTTTATTAATGAATCTCTTACATCATACGTACATCTGCACTTTGTTGTTTATGATGAGAGAATTCACGTGAGAGCTGAATTCAATGAGCGAGTGCCGTGCACTGAACAAAAACTCATCTGAACGCCTCTGATTGGCCATTGCATTCATAAGCTCAACAGACTCGTGTGTGATTGGTTATAATGCGCAACACTGTAAAAACGCATAAAAAATCATGGCGCAATGCTGCGGTCAACACTTTATTTCATTTGCATTTTATTCACGACAGCCGATATGGATTTAGTTTAACTGTACAGCAGCATTTGTGTCTGTGTGTTGCCATAGTTTCTACAAGTGGAAACTGAGGATATGCAGATATTACATCATTGATCGGTGACAATGACCAGGGATGAGTCATTATTTAAAACTGGAATTTCTCTGGATTTACAAATACTTGGGAACTTTTTGAATAACATAAATACACAACTGCATAAAATATATAACACTGTGCAAGTAGTTTTTGGATATTTAATATGGAAATCTTACATATTGTACCTTTACGAGTCCAACCCAAAGTCTCTATAAGTGTGTTTCTGAATACTTTTGCTCTATTCTACACTATTTTGTAGTATAACTAGTGCAAGTATTGAGTACCCAAATGATGTAGTTCTTCAAATGCAAAAACAAAGTGTGATATATTCCACACTTTATGCACTATATGAACAGGAAAACTTTTATAGGCCTAATATATGGATGGATGGATGGATAGACAAATGGACGGATGGAAAGAAAGACATAATTACACAGATACCTGGATGGATGGATGGATGAATGATGGACGCATAACAAATGGATGGATGGATGGATAGAAGAATGAATAGACAGATAATTACTCAGATCGATGGATGGATTGATTCATAGATAAATGCATGGAAGGAAAGAAAGAAAGAAAGCCCATTCTTTAAATTCTGAATTGTGCACTAACCATGTTGACAGTATGTTGCACAGTAATGATTATTATGTGTACACAGGAGAAATAAACTCACCTTGCAGTCACACCCCATCTGATAGCGCTGACTGAGGCTCTTCTTCTGGGTGGCACTCATGGATTCCCAGGGCATGATGAGATCACACAGAGTCACGTGCATCTTGCCGTTGGCCTCCGCCTTGCCTGGAAACACAATGTGCAGACAAAACAATCTGAACCGTCTGCGAACATCTGATAGTCACAGACACAACGAGGCCCAACAGACAAAATAACAGCACGAGAACACAATAACAAGTCGCCACGTTTATAAACCGAACCCTTCGGTTAGTCACCTATTGTTCTGTATTATGACTGAACCACGTTATGGAGGTCACTGGAGAGTCAAAGTGCAGATTTGGTGAAAAACGCTACATGCAAAAGCTTGAACCCTGATGGTGGAGAATATGAGTAGCTAACCACAATTTGGGACTTCACAAAATGGGAGGGAACATACAAATACAATGACATAAACAACCTCAAGATGGTTTCTATTTTTGCCCAAAGCGAAGGTTTCTGAAGGTCTGCTCTGGTTACAATCTGAAACCTGGGTAGTGTCTACTCAGTGTGGAGAAGGGAACGTGTGCCTTGAAAACACAACCTCAGCAGTTACTCCGCACTACAGGATCAGCTCTTTCATTATTTTACCTCCCCTCCTCCTCTAAAACTTCAGCTTTAAAGGCAATTGCTACCCTCCACAGACCTCTGCCTTGTCAACTCTGTAATTTGGGCTCTGCTGGAATGGTCTGAGATGGGGAAACCAGAAGTTGTCTGTGTTCATCTTTTGACGTTCTTTTATATTCTGTGTTTTTTCCCTTCAGAGTTGCCTGCTCAGCAAGTTCATTAGAGAGAAGAGAAGAATACTGAAACCCAGCTGTAAATTCAGCACATTGTACATCAATAAGTCATAGTTTGTAAACTAATGTCCTGTCTAAAAACGGATCGCCTTGAGTGAAGCATGAGCCAACTGGCAAGTGCTTTGCTGTGAAGGCAGTAACCAATAGCATTGTGTGGTTAGACTGTACATTTATTTGACCAAAAACAACAGCTGCAGAGAAATGTCAATTTTTTCTTTTTTTTACCTGAGATGAGGTACTCCTTCTTGCCGTTAGTGTCCAAATTCGTCACCCCACACACTGCAGATGTGGGCGCGGTGAAGATCACGTCAATGTGGCGATCCGGGCCTTTGAACATCTGAGGAAAGCAGAATCTCTTGTTTTATTCAATGCAAGACATTTTCATTATAGGTTAGATCTGAATAACAGTTGTCATCTTCATCCCTCACCTTGATCTGCTTAATCTCATATTGGATCCGCTTGATGGGGTTCCCATAAATATCATTCCCAGAATCCACTTCTTTTTTTCCAACCACTTTGGCCCTGATTACTGCAGGGAAAAGAATAATGAAAATGTTAATTTCATGAACTAACTGCAAAAAAAACATATATATATATATATACACATACATACATCATTACATAAATCAAATAAACAAATAAAAAAAGGTAAGAAAACTTTGTGAGGTGTAAATAAAGTTGGAAGTTTCATGGTGCCATAAAATTTTAAGTTTAATCAACTTAAAATGAAATGTGAATTTTTCTTAAATAACAACTTGGATATTTAATTAATCTGAAGTTCACTCCAATATTATACATCATATATTTCCAAAGATTTCGGTTTTTCTCAATTTAAAGGGGTCATATGATGCGATTTCATTTTTCCTTTCTCTTTGGAGTGTTACAAGCTCTTGGTGCATAAAGAAGATCTGTAAAGTTGCAAAGACTTAAGTCTCAAATCCAAAGAAATATTCTTTATAAAATTAAGAGTCAACCACGCCCTACTAAAACGGCTTGTTCTAACTCGCCCCCACGTCTACGTCACGATGTGGGAAGATTTACGTAACGCTGCCCAAACGTTCACGCAAAGAAAAAAGGCGTAACTTTTATTCTTGCTGTAGTATTGTTGTTGCCATCGCCACCATGTCGTGAAGGCGCTGTGTTTCGTTGTGAAAGCGAAACTACTTTGTTTGAAAATTTTTTTTTTATTAAAGAATTTGCCACTGATGATTCAAACGCGAGTTTTGAGCAGTGTAGAGTAGCGTTTGTAGTTTGCCATTTTTCCGATCACAAATGCAGACATAGTTTTATGTTTACGCGGCGCAATGCAATAAAGTGCGTAAAAAGACAGTATAAGTCATTATAATCCATAATTATGTCCCTACTGGATGCAATAAATGCCTCGTTTATAATGGGTTTTAATGTTTTTGTCTCGTCGCTCCGGCTGGGACAAGGCATCACAATATGGTAAGGGGCGTAACATTTCTGTCACACGCTTGAGGTATTCGGCCAATCACAATGCACTGGATAGCTGGCCAATCAGAGCACACCTTGCTTTTCAGACCGATGACCTTGTAAAAAGCGTTTCAGAAAGGCAGGGTATAAAGGAGAAACAATAATGTACAGTATGTGGAAAATAATGTGTTTTTTGAACCTTAAATCGCATTAAACACATTTCATTACACCAATAATGTTCTTTTTAGCAACATCATATGACCCCTTTAAGTAGATAAGAGACAGGAGCTGAACTTGCATGGGGCGTTTCCAAGATGGCCTGACTTGCCTTCTTGGGACTAAATGTGTCATTTCTGTTAGCGCAGCATTGCTAAAACAAAGCAGGGGATTTCCAATTCCCAGCACACCTTGCACAGGAATGAATGGGGTGAGTACAAGTTGTATTTAAGTGTCATTTGAATTGTTTTTAACAAGATGAGAAATAGGAGGTTTTATTGTTATTTTGGAATAGAGAAATGTTTCTGTTATGTTGGTGTTTTGGGTTACCATTGTGGTGAGCTTGAGCTTAGGTTGGTAAAAAACTGCATTTATCATGCTAACATGCACTGTTCTTAGCTATACTTTAACTGCAAGAGATTCAGTTGGGTTAGTTTGACATGTGTCATTTTATTGTTTTACTCAATTCAGTTATGTTTCCAGTGCAGTTTCAGTTTAATTCAATGTTAAGAAAACCCATATCCAAAGTTTAAAAACCACTGTCAACAACTAAATTAAGTTCAGCCAAAGAATATTTTTTTCTAAGTGTGTGTAATCTTCTCAATGTTTTTCCACCACTACTTGGACTCAGTAAAATATACAAGCTACAGCACAAGGGCTGTAGAGATTAAGTCACGTCATCATAAAAAGATGAAAAGGCTCTTGTACTGTACTTTCTCCCTGCCACCTCTCATCTGAGGCCTTGTCTAAACACCAGCGAGAGGTCTCTCTCATTTAAAGAGAGTCATGCCCCCAAACCCAAATCCCATTTCCTGCAAGTTGAGCATTTGCAGCTGTCCAGCATTTCTTTAACTCTCTTTGTCAGGTCAGCCAACATGCGCCAGACACGCCTCCTCTAGAGAAGCTAACACATGACAACCTTGCGCTGACTCATTCATTCTCTTGCCTTTTATACTCACCCTTATTTTCCTAAATCGTTTTTAAATGGCTGTTATTTTTTCACTGAAGTACTGCACGGAAACATAGAATGGAACTTAAATGGATGAAAAGAAGCATCTCTATCATTCAATCTATCACCCTCCACAACCCTAAACTTCAGCCGTGTCGTCCTCATACAGTCAGCTTTACTTTAACAGAAGAATAAACAGCTGCAAACCTTCGAATATAAACTGTGTATCACATTAATACAAACTCTGCTGCTTAAACTAGCAGAGCAGAACTTAAACAATGATTTCATGCTTTAGTGTTTGTCTGTTAAGCAGAATAAATTGTATATGTTATTGACTGGTGAGGGGAAAAAGCTGGATGGGAAGTTGAGCATCAGTCAAAGATCATGTGAGATTTCTGATTTTTGCAAAACAGTCCAAAACAACATTCGACCCCATCAACTTTGGGTATATTGACAAAAAAACACAACATTTATCAAAATGTCTTCTTTTGTGTTCCACAAAAGGTCATACAGGTTTGAAACAATGTGAATGTAAGTTAATAACAGAATTTCATTTTTGGGTGAACTATTCCTATTCCAGACAGAAAAATTTAGAAGTGTCTTTACATTATATGTAAAGTACTATGCATGCAATCAACTGCCATTATTGCAAAATCACTGACAGGGTGATTAGGTCATTCTGAAGTGGTGTATTTTGCAATAATGACCAGATGAATATTCATTTTCTGACTTATATGGTTGCTTATTAAACAAGGAAACAAATGGACAGCAAACGCTGCAATGAAATGGAGATACAAATGAAGCACAGTTTATGAGACAAACTAGATTTTTACAAGTTGAATTAGACTTGCTACTTAAACTCTCAGGGCTAATTGAGGTTAGTTCAAGGGATAGTTCACGCTAAATTGAAAATTCTGTCATCATTTCCTCATCTCATTACAAAACTTTGTCTTTATTTCTTTTCGTGGAACACAAAAGGAAACGTTTTGAAGGATGTTACCTTTATGTCTCTTTCATATAATGAAAGTGGATGGGGACCAGGGGCTGTCAAGCTCCAAAAAAGCATGATAAAAGCATCATAAACTGAAAATATTGCTTGACCGCAGTGGTCACCATTTATTTTAATTGTATAGGAAAGAGTAGCTTGGATATTCAGCTATAAATATGTTCTTTTGTGCTCCACGGAAACACATCAAATGTGTTTCAAAAGACATGAGGGTGAGTAAATGACGACAGTCACAGAACTATTCTTTCAAATGTGAGGATGAAAAATAGATCAATTATATCACAGGAGAGTCAGAGATAGAAATGGAAAAACAAAGTGTAAAGTTTGCAGTTTTTGAGGCACTTGCTCACCATGGAAAATATGAGCCCGTGGATATAGGATGCAGGGACATAAAATAACTAGAAAAAGCACACACACACAGCCATTATTATACACCCATGGGTTCACTTTATGGGCTGGAAAAGACGCAAATATGAAGGCTTCATTGCTCTTAAAGTTAACGATAGCCCCCCTCCTCCTCCAGTTCAAGTTGCATGCTTTTCTGTGTATGTCAGGCCTTTCTGGGTCCTGAGCTATGGAGCATGATAACACTGTGCCAGAACTAAACATCAATATAGTCTTATTCTAAAACCAATTTATCGTGGTTCCAGTGTTAAAGTAGGTCAAGCCACAACACTAGTTGTTTTGCACCTAAAATTCCAGACGCTAGGCTAAAAAAGTTTTGAGGACAAGGAGGCCTCGCTTCTCCTGGTGAAGCAATCAAGCAATTCTCAAACAACTTCAGAGAGCATCCCGCAGTGAGCAGCAGTGGCTACTGCCTGACTCTGCAGACGTCACTCATTAGTTTGAGAGAGCGTTCTGTTACCAACATCATGCAACTTAAGAGTACAACCCAGTGATGTGGCTAATTTAAAAAGACGGATGACCCCATAGCAAGTCTGTAAGTTTCAGCTTAGATTAGATGGTACATTTTGCAGTAATTGACTACTGGCTATTTAAGTGACAGATGTGTAAGAGTCATGGTCAAGAACCTATTAAGGGAAAATTCTGTCATCATTTATTCATGCTTATGTTATTCAAAACTGTATGACTTTCTTCGTTCTACAGAACACAAAAGAAGATATTTTGGATTTTTTTGTCCATTAAATGAAAGTCAGTGGCCAGTGTTGTTTTAAATCTCTTTGACTTTCAATGAATAGACATTCTTCAGAATATATTTTGTGTTGCACAGAAGAAATAAAGTCAAGTTTGGAACAACATTCAGCAACCTATATAAATACAACTTTTTATTAAATGCAATTTGACTCCACATTTCTAAAACTTTGCATTGTGACTAATGTTTTTGCACATTAAAATATATCTTTTTTATGATTTGTTTCCTGACATGTCCAGCTGCCCACCCCAGATGTAACGCAACAGCTCCAGCCTCATCTAAAACTTCTATGCTTGTCTAGGTCTTTCATATCAGGTCAGTCTGATGTTTTCATGCTGATAATTTTTAGCCAAGAAAAAAAAACTTCTTGAGCGAACGGTCAGCACCAGCATAAACATACTAAATTTGATCATATAAAAATGTAAGGAAGCTTTCAGTGTGGGATCCTGATAGCTTTAGCTTTATATTTTTTCTTTGAGATTTAATAATTAAAGCATCAGAGGGATCATAGAGTGATGTTCTGCAGTATCTGTCTTCAGCTTCATTCCCACTGCTTCATTTTTCCTGCCTGACCCACATTCCTATTGCCCGATAATCATGTATATCCCACAATGCCTGCTCCATCTACGGATGACTTACACACTCTCTTACATATGCACATATCATAATCAAAATGTCATAGTTTCCATGAAAATATACCCACCACAAATACTAGCCACATCCTGAGTTTCCATATGCCTGCACAGCTTTTAGCAATCATGACCAGCGCGG